CTACCAACTCATCCAAGGTATACTACTGTCTTATTTTTTTTTCCTTTTACTAGCGTATTTATCCTCTTCTTCTTCGAACTTCACGCGACTCGGATACTTCTTGGTCTTGCAGACGTTGTCTAGCCTAGCCCCTATCCTCCATGAGGCCTTGGAGGGTGACCCTGACGAAGTTGCCCACATGAAGGAGAAGGTCGAAAGCAACGAGGTTGCGCGGGCCAATCCCCAAGAGATGTGTGATCCCCAAAAAAGCGAGATCGTCTAGCTGACGGCCCATCTTACGGCAAGGGTGCCGAGCTCCGGGCGAAGGGTGCTAAGCTGCAGGCAAAAGGTGCCGAGCTCGCGGCGAAGGATTCCAAGCCGAGTAGGCTCAAGGCCTCCGTGGACGAACGGGTTGAACGAGCCCGAGAGGAAGGTCGTACTTCTTTTCTCTCCTCAATTCCCAGGGTCTGTTTCGTTAAGCAATATTGGCTCGAGCTGATGTCATGCTTCAAGCACTCCAATGAGCTCGACCTAAGATCTACCCAACCCAGCCTGCAAGCGGTATTTCATGACTGTCAAGGTGACAGTACATGGATTTCATTTCATGCTTGTTCCCTCCAAAAACATCGGTCCAATAATTGAAGAAAATCTTGGAGATATGAAGGAACGGGAGAAGAGAATTTTCGTTCTCTGTTCTTATGCTCTCCTCGCCTAACTGGCAAGAAAACAAAAATGAGGTAAACGAAAAAAAAAATTATTCAATAAGGTCTTTATTTTGTTTTATGTTGGCGGCCACAATTTATCCTGCTCAAACCAAAAGTTGTTGGATGCATTTTAAGTAAATCAAAGGGCTAATAATGCCACTGTAGAAATCTGCTTTTTTAGTGGGCACTGCAGAGGTTCTACTTCCTTCCTTATTAGTAATTATCCACCACTCAAACGATTAAGCATGCAACCTTCACCAACCCAAAAATTCATCAACCAAGAATAAGAGTCTTCAAAACATGCATTATTCATCGGATATCAGTCTTGAGTAGATTGCACGCACAAAATTTTAAAGCAACACGCCCGAACTTAACTGGAAAACCCCACACACAGAGATTTCGATTCAAAAGTACAGACTTTTATTGCTCACTTTTAGCAAATTCCTAACTAGTATAGTTTGCAACAAGGAATTTTATTTACATATCTTTGTTGTCTTAGCATGGTCGGATTAGCCTGAGCCATGTTGATATTAATCGTTTTAAATATTGCTCACTTCAGCATCATCTGTTTCAGCTTTATCTTCTGTCAAGGCATAGACCACCGCTGTTCTAGAAGGTGCATATATTAGGAACAAATGAGGCCGGTCGTCATGCGGCATTTCCTGTTGAGACATCAGGTTGAAGAAAATTATTATTCACTCGATTTTTGTTTCTTCCAACGCGTATAAAATACTTCCTAAAAGCTGATTATGAAATTATTGACCGCAAGATATATGTAGATGCAGTAGTTTAACATTTGAAAATAGTTCCATGCACAACAAACTTTGAATTAAAGGACCATGCATCTTATTGGAATTTATGATGGTTGGGAGGTTAAACTAATTTTTTCACTGTCGATAAGAAATTTAAAAAATTATCAACCTGCCCAAATTTTAGTTACTTGATAATATAAACATTAGTCTGAAATAATGGAATGAGAAAATGAAATTATATGAGTCATGTTTGAGCATTAGTTATAAATTATGAATCAAGGTTAAAACAGGAGTCAGTTGACTCAATTCATAGTTTGAACATCTTACAGAGGTAAAATATTCTGCTTCATGATTTACTCTACTGAAGCCTCCAAACAGTGGATGATCCGAGTCCAAAACAACCTGAAAAGTATAGCTTTATCGTGAAAAACCCTTGGTTCCATAAAAGCTATAAAGGATACATAGTTGCAAAAAATCACTAGAAAATATATAAATAAATACCACTAGAAATAACGTAGATATTCATTTTAATGGGGAAATCAATACCACCTATAACTTATTTATCACCACAACTATGAATAATCATCGGAAAGGAAATCATGCAAATTATCCTTTTCAGCAGCAAATTGAAATAACAAGTATGAAAAGCAAAGAAATTTTCTTTCTCGATGTACCTTATACTTTCCTGGCTTTAAGCAGCCTACCCGATAATCTGAATAACTATTACTCCAATGAAAATTGAAGACGAAGACTAAGTCCCCCCTCTCGAATACAACTATCCTATCAGCTTCATCCTTTCTTGATATATACTGATGGTCTGATGTCATGAACTGCAGACATTAGACCAAAAGTTAAATATATATACATCAAAGAACTCAAACCTGCAAATGCAACTTGGACAACTACTTTGGAGTATGATAGTCTGAAGAAAAGTATTGAACTCAGACTGTTGACTAAGTTCAAGAGGTTGAATGTAATAGCATCTAAGCCAATCATTACATTCTCACAGAGGTGAGAAGGCCACAATCATATGTGGTTTATGGGCTGAGTAATATCCTACTTCCCAATATGTTAAAACTTACAGAGGAATAATTGTTGGAGCAAGAAATCTTTCACATTTTCTGGCATTTGAGATCAAAGAATCAAACATGACTAGATTTTCATGAAGTCTGAAGGAGACCCAGTTGAGGCTTAAAGGTCCTAGCAATCCAGAGAACCATTTTTCTTGTTGGACTCGTGTTGACTAGTCAAGCTGTTTATCCCACATTTAGTAAAGGTATAGCACATGAACAAGTTCACTAGGGTTTGAAATACTATTGTCAATTATTTCAGTATAGGAAACACACAATGGACAAATCTTCCTTTTCTTAATCAACTAAAGCACTACACTACCTAACATTATTGCAATATTCCTCTTGCTTTTTGCAAGAAAGGATATATAGGTACAGTGTAATCCATTAAAAATAATTGGCGAACAGATAAGAGATGCTTCCAACATGTAGGATTCACACACNAGAAAAGAATGATAGAAAAAAAAAAAGAAAATAAAGGAACCTACTAGAAGTGGAAAATCTACTGCTAAATATGATGCAACTTTGTTTCTTTACAACTTTTTACTAACAGGATCAGCAGATACATAGCCTAAAGAAGAAAATTACTTTCATGCCATCACATATATCATACTGTTATCCAAATTTTAGTACAACTCAAGGGAAAATACACCACCTAAATTCAGTCAAGGAAATGAATTCAGTGCAAAGAATACATACACCGTATTGTTCTTCAAGATGCTGCATTGCTTGGTCAAATTCTTGCATACCACGATATCTTAAATAATCTGCATCACCCTGGTTATTCATCAAGTAAAATTGAGACAAAAACTCAACTGCTCCAAAGGTCTATACTATGAGTGACATTAGATGGAATGTTTCAAGAGAAGATATATATAGCGCAGAGAATATTGACGAAAAAGGAGATTTAAAGCCTGCTGCTCTGACTTACACATTTTTCAACTACATTTGACCACATACATAGTTTATAGTAAAAACCCATGCAGTATGGTAATCCAACCGAGATGCTCATTCACAGGACCAAAATGCTGGAGAGTGAGCAAGTTCAAAATATATCTAAGAGCAGAATTGCAACTGAAATTATGTAAACACATTGAATAGTGTGAAGTTTGATGATGTAACGAAATTATTGTAACAAATTGTTTGAAGTGCTTGAGATCAATCCCAAACACCCTTCCGTCTGTTTAGCAACTGCTAATTATTGTATGGTTAACATTCCCATAGGTTCTACCTGAGCTCCTTTCAGAAACATCTACATCCCAAGCTTCAGTTCAGAAACAATTATCTTATTACCGCTACGACAATATGATTGAGGTTTGGTCATTTCTCTCTTTTGGGAAAAAGTTACTTTCCATTGTACAAATACCTTTTTGATGTTTCCATATTACAAATCATTCTCTCTTAAAGTGAGTCGTATTTATACAAGTACAAGTTTTGTGAATGTTTGTCGTAACGAATATTGGTACTTTAAAACATAGCTAAATTTATGGAATAACCTTCATCTGCCTGTGTTAAGGAAGTGAACATTTTATTATTTCTCTCTTTGGCTTTTCCAGGCATTTTCCCTGATCTACAATTTAACCACATGTCTCAGTCTTCTAATTTTCATTCCCTACCAACGTTCAGATAAGGCCATAAAATTGAGGGTATTTCTTGCTTCAATTCAGGTCAGTAATTTCACTAGAGCAAAGAGGATCTTGGTTTTTCCTACATATAACTTATGATCGAACATTCCTTCAACCTAATCATCTATCAAAGTGATGCTAAAGGACAATTGGACATCGTATTTAAGAAATTTACATCCAAATTAGGAGAACTAGCTTTAGAGACTTAGAGTACAAGCGTACCAGATCAAATCTGCGCCTGCACTTGTCGTAACTGTTATTATTTCCTGGAATGACTCTGCCATCAGGGAGATGTTGATCTCCTCTAGGGAAATCTATCCACTCTGGTTGAACAGAAAAATAATTTAGTGATGTGATTTTGGATTCAAAAGAAAAGTCATGTTCACATGTTAATATACAAGAAATAATACATTGTAAACCCACCAGGATGTCCAAATTCATTTCCCATAAAATTAAGATATCCTTCTCCACCTAATCCCATTGTGATGAGCCTGATCATCTTGTGTAATGCAATTCCACGATCTATTAAGGGAGTGGATGGTCTATCCAGTGCCATGAAATCATACATATCCTGCCAGATGATTTCAAATACTAAAATAAGCCCAAATGCAGAATCATAAATTGCTTCAAGATGTATAACGGACCGGCAAGAATTGGGTAGTGGATATTGACCGATATTTATAACAGAAAAATCAACTATATTGGACTTTGCCTTTAGGATGTTGGCTTCAAACTCATGGATGACTAGCTATAATCAGGCAGTCTGACTGACAAAAATTCAGTGGCCGAACAATGTCCAAAATGCCCTCTACTCTGCAATTTTTTTTTTTAATTCTTTTCAGTCTCTTCTACACCATATATTTTAAAATAGTTTATATTCTCATCATAACTTCAACTGAAAAAACTAACGTCTCTCTGCAGAAGGAAAACAATATAACTGTACTAAATTAAGCAACACTAGTACTTTCTCACCACAATAACTAAGTGGGTGAGAGCTGACTTGACTACAATTAGACCAATAATAAATGAATATTATAGAATCATTCTGTCATATGCATCACCTTATCCATCAACCAGAATGCAATAGTTTTATCGCCAACCAGTGCTTGGTCATGACTTTCTGCATATGAAACACATTTTTCCAGCCACCTTCTGTTTGTAAGAGTGTGTATAATATCTCCCATTCTCCAGTCTTCATCCCTTTGCCTGCATAAAGAAAAAAAAGGAAGAGAGATGGATGTTGAGGCATGACCATTGACCAGTCTAGAAGCATTGCAGAGTCCACATTTAAAATTAATGTTTTATAACAACAAACTATTTAATTTAACTAGAAAGCAAACAAGTTGGTACCATAACCAGGTGTTTTATTATGTATTATGCTTTTTTTCACATATCTCGCAACTCCAGTCTCAGAAAAGGAAATCAAGTAAACGAGACTCCGGAAAGTGGGATCTATTCTTTTCAAGTCCTTATGAAAAAACTACAAAATAGTATTTCAAAGTGACATTCAAGAGTACACTTATTTCCCCGATGTTTAAAGTCAGAAGCTTTACGAATGACGTACTTAAGAATTTCAATCCATTTATCAGCAATTGCCATGTGTAGACGATAGTCAAATCCAACACCACCATCTGGAAGAGGAATACAGAAAGTTGGCATGCCACTAACCTGAAATTTGATGAAATATCCAAATAAATTACAGTTCAATCAAATTCCATTTTAGAATAATGAAGAATTTAGCAGATAAGCATCAAATATAATCAATGGAAGTTGAACCTTTGGATTTTCATCAGGGCTATGTCCAGCAAGACTGAATTGTGGATATGATGATTTTTCAATATTAATTGCTTCACCGTTCATATTTTACATTAAGGTTCTAACAGTATCAAAATACACAAAATATAATGGAACAAAGGTTTATAACAAATGATAAACACTTCCCGGAGAGAATAAAAATCGCTGTCAGATATTACAAAAGAAATCTCTGTGTATTTATGACACTGACAGTCCTAAGTTATGTACTCCCTCCATTACGCAAAGATAGGCCGTGTTCCTATTTTGGTTTGTTCCACAAAGACAGACATGCATCTTCAAAAATAACGTAGTTGAACTAGTAAGTTCCTTTCAGCCCTCCTTTAATTTACGTGGAGGAAACAAAACAGAATGAGATCATAAAACAAGTACCAAGTATGTATAAATAAAGAACGCTGGCGAATTATGTCTTAAATGAAGCAAACTTACATCTTCGCCAATGGTAATCGCCTCAGGAAACAGTCCATGAATTAGATCATTAACCAGCATCAAATACACCATAGCATCCACATCCGTTGCAAACCCAAAGTACTCATTGTAGTTACCAGTAAATCCCACCTTTTAACATGCAAATATATTAGCCTCAACACCGAGCAGATAAAATTGGGAAGTAGAAGCTTTGAACAGAAAAGTAAGTTTCCAAGCGCCATAAATAAGTAAAAAAACTGGATCACAAACACCAGAATGTGATAGTGAGAACATTCTAGAACTATAAATCATTTGCATAATTTACATCTTAAGGTTCACAGAATATTTTGTTTGGTCTATATAGAACTTGGTTGCAATTCCTAATTAGCAACTATCACTAATTGAACCAAGAAGTATAGCGCATTGTTTTAATATTATATTTTGCGTTTGTCTAAACTCAAAATTGAATTTCATGTTCTTTTAATACAGAACTGAATTCTCATTGTGACCAGAGAAGTGATTCTTAATTGAACATCTATATAAATGACAAGAGATTGAAAAACCAGGAAAGACCGGAAACATCACCAGGCGAACATCAGATACACACACACACACAAAAATTTGGGGACTAAAAGACATAATTATCTCAGATAGGTTCTGAATAAGATCCCATTCTCTGAATGATCTAGAATAAATTATTAGAAAAAAGCACTATTTGTAACCGGATTCAACCCATCAGATGATGAAGCAAAATTATCTGAGGAAGTATGCCAGATGGACCCTAAATTATTATCATTTTCATCAGTAACAATACTCGGTCAATGAGCAGAAAACTAAATATAGTACCTCTAAACCATGGTGTGTATACATCATTGATGTCACACCATCAAATCTGAAACCATCAAACTTATACTCATCCAACCACCATCTTGCATTAGATAGAAGAAATCTTAGAACCTACAAATAAAAAAACTTTAGGTGCCAATCATGATGATACAATAGAAAACAATAGTTCAACATTCTGGATAGTACATACTTCCCATTGTCCATAGTTGAACAGACGAGAATCCCACATCCAATGATAACCTCGTGGTCCAGAGTGAAAGTATCCACTGTCGGTACCATCAAACATGTTCAGCCCATCCAAAGTATTATTCGATGCGTGGCTGCAAACATCGACCAAGACCTTCAAAATTGTTACATGGACTAAGATCCTCAAAACTGTTTCATGGACTAAGATCTCCAGGAAATAAACAGTCATCAACTATATGAGGCACTCGACAATATTCGGATGTATGGTTCACGGATATTTAATCATGGAAATTTCATTATACCTGTGTACAATATCCATGAGAACAACCAAGCCCAGATCATGAGCTTTATCGATTAAAGACTTGAGATCATCTGGTGTTCCAAAGCGACTGCTTGGTGCAAAGAAATTCGTCACATGGTAACTGAGGCAAGGAAGCAAAGTACAAAACTGTCAGAAGGACCAAAAATAATAATAATAAAATAAAAAAAGCAAACGAAAAAGGAGAAAAGAAGTTCAGAATGCTAAAAGATACTGAGCTAAACCAAATGACATCTTGAGTTACCCAAAACTGGCATAATATGAATGCTCCTGAATTGCCATTATCTGAACAGCATTATACCCAAGTCTCTTGATACGGGGCAGAACTTCATCTCTGAAGTTGGCATAGGTATTGATTATTGGCTCCTGCATCCGAGGTCAAGATTATGACATGACCCACTTGAAGGTTATCTAATAAATGTATGAACAGATCCCGAAAACATAAGATATTATTATGATAATTAATATATTTGATCTTCAGGGTATATAAGGAAAGAATGATGTTAATCTTGCAGAACGTAATGGTAGTGTTGATGCTAATCTAGTCCTAAACGCGATTTTAAAAAAATGATACAAAATTTCCAGAAGTTTGGGAGCTTTAAAATCTCCTAAAGTAATAAACATAAGAATGAGCTAGTGAGCACAATGTGATAAATATATGATTATAATTGTGATGGCCTATACAATGCCAATTTCAGAAACTAANGAATATAGATCTGTAAAGAGGATTTCTAAGTTCGTTCGCTCTCTTTCTTATTATTTAACTTTGGTACCTTAAATTTGTCTGCATTCTGGTATTCCACAAAAATTGACACCCCACCCTCACAAGTTTTTCTTGAACTAATTTCGCTCTTTAGAACATTACAAAAATGCATTTTGTAGAATAGCCTTCTCCTCCTGAAGCGCTCTCTCTCGCAAGATCAATGCATTTCATCCGTAACATAGAACTATATTTGAGGATACTTATGTAAGATACTAAAAAACTAGCTTCCAACTCTCCAACTATCGCCAAGTTAAAATGAACCGTACAATATCCTGTTGTAAGATGAAAGGAAGTTCTTGCAAACACTAAAATAAGCTATTCATGGCTTTGGTGGAATAGGTATGATGTTTATCCAGCTATTAACTTAGAATCATTTAAGAAAAAGAAAAATGAAAAGAAGATAAAATTAGAGTTTGCAAATACTCAACCAAAGGTCCCTTTGTTGAACTCTCATAAACTTTTTTCCATGTCAACTGGATATGTAATAGATTTAAACAGAGCGTATATTACGGTACCATATGCTGCGATACAAATACAAGAGTTTAAGTCACTGATCTAATTAAATCATTTTCCCTTGATATTAATCATTCCAATACGTATTAACAGTTGTCTTTCATATAATTCACAATTGCCAATCCTTCCTTAACATCACTTGCAAGGTAGTGGTGGCCTTCAAACAATGCATTACAGATGTACTAGTTATGCATGAATCAGTTAATAAACCCTGAATAAGGGAATTTGCAGGCGTTGAACATAGAGAGTCACGTTAGTACATGAGAGAAGAGATGCACACCGTACTACTCATTCCAACATGAGACTCGTATATCCGGAGTGATTTTGGCTTCTTTGGACGAGGATGTTTAAAAACATACTTTTCCTGCAAACATATTATGAAGAGAATACTAAGCTGAGAAGAAAAGGAAGGCAAGAAATTACCAGGTAAACAAGCATTCACATCTCTCTCTCTCTCTCTCTCTCTCTCTCTCTCTCTCTCTCTCACACACACACACACAGAGAGGAAAGAAGCACCATAGCTTCTCAGACTACTATTTAGAAACCAAGATGCAGAAAAGCAAGACTCAAGAAGCTTTTCCACGAGAAAGAATATGACAGTATCCTGCCATACCATTATAAAATTGAAATGGCATTTTTCGTGCTGTCTTCAGCATCCTACACATCCCTCATTCTCCCCATTTATCCAATATTCAACAGTCAATACTATTAACACAAATTATAACAGAAAAAATATTGCAAATACCTTTTCTGGAGGATTATAATATATTCCATTGTAAGGAATTTCACCAGGAGCCTGAACCGAAAACTTGATCCAAGCTGGAATAGAGTCTTTTATGCCAGATGGAGTATCCATACGAATCTACATGTGAAAATCATACAGGTAGTATCATCAACAGCCTACCTACTAGTAGATTCACAAAGTGCAGTAGCTGCAGTCAACGGCAATACTTTGTGGTCATTGCTGTAAATTACGATAATATAGCAGGAGCAAGAAAGACTAGGGTTGACTAGTGACTAAAAAAAGTAAGAAAAATATTAACTAATAAGATATTTTCCTCCAAGAATGATCTTAACTTCATACCTTTACTCGGGAACCATGGGGGATAGCAGGAGAACCGTCTGCATTGTTTGGTAAAAAGATCTCCCAAACACCAAACTTATCCTGTTAAAAATCTAAGTGAGTCAAGCCTTGTGACAGAAATAAGCAACATATAAATGAGATATATATTACGAATTTAACAGTCTTAATGAAAAACCAAAAGATGATAATGTCCTAGCAATGGTAAAAAATAAGGACAGGGGACAAAGCTTGTATCCTGGGAAAACGTCATATCTTGGGCTAAAGAACAATAAATGCAGAACTTCTTTATTATGATTTTTTTTAAAAGTAATTGTGAAATGGTATCCTCTTATGCCGAAAATATCATTTTACACCTTGTAGCAAAACAGAAATTTAAGGTCAATGAACTAAAACACCAGCATTTCTTCATGACTACTCATTAATGTTCAAGGAAGTTAAACTTACACGAGTCATAACATCAGCATTAGGATCCCAATTGTTGAAATCTCCAATTAGTGTTGCCCACTGTCAGGTACATCGAATCATTAACATCATAGTGAAAACAGTAATAATCATAAAATATGTTGTTATTGTACTTGTTGGCAGTTATAGACTACTAGAGTACTACTACAATGACTGTGTTGTCAACTTGTTTCCTGGCCACTTCTAACAGAAAATGTTACTCTGACTTCTTTTAAAATGCAATCACACTTCACGTGAACTATTACAACAAGAAAATCATGATTTTTCTATTTGGCAGCATCTACGAATCAGAAAGGATGTGAACTGAAAGATGCTAATGGAGAAATATTGGATAAATGGAACTGCAAAAGGAGCATATTTCCTGCTATACCATAATGATAAGCAGCACTAACCTTGGCTCCAGGTGCCCACTCCCTGTAAGTGATACCTGTTTCACTGGCAAAATACAAAACTAGAAGAAATTAGAATTCACATACATTAAGCACAATTTAAGAATTCATACAAGGGTCAGTATACCATCTAGAGTCGATAAAGCTGCTATACTGGATGAACAAGGGGTACTAAAATTTTCATTACTCAGCATCATCAGAACTTCAAACACACTTCTCAATTCTAATGACGGTTTCATTAGGTATTCTTACGGCTAGAATCTCATATTACTGAGGACCCAGTTCTCCGAAAGGAATAGGCCTCAGCTGAGACAAAATCCTGGCTGCTAGATTTGGCATTTATCCTTTGTATTCCTTTTGCCTTTAAAATTCTGACAAGCCCTAATTACTTTCTTTCTTTCCCCAAAATACTAACAGAAAAAGTTCGTGCATAAAGTTTTCTAGGTGGTGTTTCATTATGCAGTAAAAGGTTGGTTATCATGTTAGATGATAGTTGGATTGGTATAGTATCTTCAACGCTGAAAAGAAAAGGATGCTTGTATAAACTGAACTGTATAATACATAGATAGTAGGACTTTCAAATAGTTGTTTGATAGGAGAAAGACCAACAACTTGTCTTCCTTCAGCAGTAATACTGCCGAAAGAAACACACCCAACCCTTACACATTGTCAACATTGAGACTGATAATCTACTACGTAAAACAAGTAACCCATAATGCCATAACAGATTCTGATCATCAGGTGCTATAGCAGCAAAACTGTGATTGTAAAGGAGAACAGTCTAGGGTATTAAGAAGACAAAAAAAACAATTTTTAGCAGGATGATCACGCACGCACCTGCAATTAAAACCAAGTTTCTCATAACCACGAGAAAACTTTTCTAGTCCACCTTCATACTTGTCAATTGCTTCGCGGAGCTTTTTATATTGGTCATACCTGTAAAATAAGCATGTATGGTGATACAGAACAACAACAACAACAACATACCCAGTATATTCCCAACAGGTTGGGGTCTGGGGGGTCAGTTGTACGCAGACCTTACCCTTGTAATTATACAAGGAGGCTGTTTCCGTAGCGACCCAAGGTGCATTGCGCCGTTTGATATATTTTTTTTTCTAGAAACTTCACTAATAGAAGAAGCACTAGAATTTAATTGAGCCATACAACAACAACAACATACCCAGTATATTCCCAACAGGTTGGGGTCTGGGGGGTCAGTTGTACGTAGACCTTACCCTTGTAATTATACAAGGAGGCTGTTTCCGTAGCGACCCAAGGTGCATTGCGCCGTTTGATATATTTTTTTTTCTAGAAACTTCACTAATAGAAGAAGCACTAGAATTTAATTGAGCCATTTTTGTCAACAATGACTCTTCCAGTTCCATTTGCAATGGACAATATGGTGATGCAGAAAAATAAATAAAAAATTACATAAGCAGCTTCATTTATTCTCCAAACAGTGATTACGAATTCTATAAGCCTCTCGCAACAGACTCGAAAGTGATAACAGATATCCTGGCATGCAACAATTTTTAAAAATAAAAAGTACAGAAAGATTGAAGTTCTAAAAGCAGATATCCACACAAATACAATATTTCGTAAACCTAAAATATAGTGTTTCCTTATTGAGTTTTATTTTTAGTTCCTTGAATCATTCATGCAAATTGGTCAAAACAATTTTACCGATAATCGAGATGTTCACGGTAATTGCTAAGAAGTGGATCTATTTCATATATCCTTTGACCAATTCCCGGTGGAGGAATGACCCTCTTTCTGACCCTTGATGATTCATCACTTATTGGTTCGTATGTTGAGTCTGGCGTTCCTTCATTTTTCGATTCACTATATTCATCTTGTAGCGGCACAGAAGTAGAGTTTTCGCCTCTAATGGTATCATCAGGAGTTCGCAGCTCAACCAACTTTTCTTGATCCTCAATTTCCATCCGGTGTTCAGTTTCTGTGCTTTCTACAGCACCTGATATCTAGGACAAAAAATCATACGAGGCAAATAATATCAAATATGAGATAAAGAATAATCGTTAATGTTTCTGATAAATTCCACATGTTAAAATTAGTGTTACATGAAAGAAAGACAAGATTAAAAAATGAAAAATATATGATAAATTCAGGGTCAAAAGACACTGGATGATCCGGGTCCATTGCGCTTTAATGTATAATAACTTTCAAGGGGTTGGTTCTACTTTGAGCTTGTACGATATCGAGATTTAGAATGCATCTCGATTCCTCTAAAAATGAAGTTAGTCACGAAATTAAACTGGATGTTCCTTCTTATTGGCTATACATAAATTCCAATTCAGAAAAAATCAGATGCAAAGAATGGAGCAACGGTTAACATATTTCTAGTTCACTAATCTCAAAGCCCATTAACCAGTTTTACAGTCTTTTCTCCTTTCACTTTCATAAATGAGTCACGTGTCCAAATGGAAATATTCATGTGTTCAATAGAGCAATCTATTGGATTAAGCAATTGAACCGAGGCCAAAAAAACGCAAGCCTTTATCGTCAACGAGAAACACGATCCAAACCCTATGTGATCAACAAGAAAACGGACTTAAGCTACTTGCCATTGTCTGATGGAAACTATAAAGAATTAATAGTACTGTAAAACACCTAGTTGCCTTTAGCTAACCGTACTACTAGATAAGTAAACACTCTAGTAACTTTTAAGGAGGCTAGGCAAGAAGATTATATTCTTATTAAATATAATGTTTAGTTTATCTTCTAAATATTTTCACTATATTTTCCTTGATATTTTGTTTATGCATAACCATGCACAAACTGAAGTCCCAGAATCCAACTAAAACTTTTGAAAGTGAATCAATATTGCTTTCCATGTTTCAAAACATGGCATCATCCTTTTTTTTTTTTTTTTGCATTCTCCTTAACCTAAATATAAGAAAAAAGGCAAAAGTGATTCAATTAAGACAAGATTTCAACGGTGACATGCCTTGGAATTATCTGACACTTTGTCAGGGACATCCAATATCTCTGATGTGGATGAGATGCCCTCACTTTCAGTACCTTGGAAAAGGACTTTCTCTGATACTGTTGCCATAGGAGATTGAGAGCCAGGTTCATAAGGCTTTCCACAAAAAATCTTTCCTGTAAAATAAAGTTTGCTAAATCATTTGATGCAATAAGTACATGATTTCTTATGGTAATTGCAGCAGAATTAAAAAAAAGCAGGAACATTTTCTGTACTTCAACCACATTGAAAATCAAAGCAATCAGCAATAATAACATTCAGTCTTATTCTTCTGTATTGCTCGTTAAACTCAAAATGGTCAATTCACCAAAATTTTGCAAGCTTTTGATTTTACCAGAAATTTCACTGGTTACTTGATTCCATGGACAAAATCTCATTTTCATGTAATAATGAGTACAATACTCGAGCTAATGAAAATATTTTAAGCAGCACAGCCACATTTGGCATTCCGAAAGATCCCAAACCAAAAAAGAAAATAAAGAAGATAATTGATCGCTCTACAACAACGAAGATTTTCAAGTAAACTCGAAGACTATGTCGACTCCTCTGCTACTCAGCTAATGAGCCCTATTCCAAGCCACATCAAGGCTTTAACGCTGGTGAAAATACGATTGAATTCAGCTACAAAATCAATTCCCCTAAGCCTACCAATTGGCCCATAAACAGGAAAATTACCATTTGAACTTTACAAATAATAAAATTAGCAAAACACATCACTGAAGACGACGAATTAAATCGATAGCACAGATGAGATGAAAGCAGGCACACACCAAACAGAAACCAGAAACAGAACAATTACCATTTGAACTTAAAAAAAAAAAAATGAAATCAGTGACACATATCACTGAATCCAGTGCACACAGAACACGGTTTCAATCGGATATCACATATGAGATTAAAAGAAAGCAGGCACACCAAACAGAAAATGACAAAATGGAAAACAGCAGCTATACGCACATAACAAGCGAAATAAAAGGAGATATCACTCACGCGAATTAGACTTATTTTTCATGAAATAACAGAGATTGGTACTCCTCCTATCAACACCCGAGCTCCACCGATTACTCCCCAGCCCGTACGCCGGCGGCGCAGCCGGCAGCCGCACGCCAAGCAGCGTATTAACCATCCTACCTCCGGCAACGAAAAACCCAATCGCCTTTTTCACCACCTTTCCCCTTCAACAGTACGAAAGGTCGAACAATTCTTCTCAGATCTGCACTGAGCTCAAGGCGCCATGATATCCGTGAAACAGGATTTGCGATTATGGCGTGATGTTACTTGTTAATAAGAGTTAAAAGCAGCTCTATTATACGTGTGAAGAAGGGAACTGAGCATCACTGCATGGGGATGGGGTGATTGGGTGCGATGGGGTCCACGGTAACCTGCTCCGTCGCCTCTGCACCGTCGATTTGGGGCCGTGGAGAGAAAAATATCTCCCGGTTCCAGATTCGTGGGCCACTCGATCACATGGGCCTGCGATCGGCAATGGGCCGGGAAAAAGGTGACCGCTAAAAAGTATGTGTACTTGCGTGTGGTTGGTGGGCTCTTCACCTTTTGTGTTTTGACGGCTTCCTTTTGGGATCACTATTGCCACATTCACTTGAGCCACGTTTGGTAAAAAGCATATCTTTCGCATATTCTTGCTAGGTGCCAAGTGGGTATTGAAATCGAGATTATTGTATGGGAGAATTTTATATATACACAGTGATTTAAGAATAACAAAAATTATATGGAGCCATCAGATGGTTTTCTTATGGAGCCATCCACCACTTAATGTGTTGACACATGTTCAAAGTGTATTTATTGAAGGACACGTGTCAATACACTATTGGTGAATAAGTATGGATGGCTCCATAAGTTGAGCCATCCGATGGCTCCATAGCAAAATGTAAGAATAATTGCAACAATATCAAGGGTTGCATTTTAATTGCAAACTTACGCGTGGAATTTATTTGTGATTATTCAAGATATCAGTTACCCAAAAAAATAGATCAAGTCTTCTTAAATTGGGGGATTACAAATTGACCACGTACTCACCTTCCTACAATCACGGATCTTTAGAATTGTATTGAAAGAAAAAAAGGTAAGTGTATATAACATACAAATTAGGAACCTAGTCAACCGTGTATATTTCTTTCAACGTTTTTTTTTTTTTTTTTTAATTTTTGCAATTTGTCTTAATTTATTATGTATATTGTTTGTATATTTACAGTATATAAAACAAGTTGAAATCATACTCATGTACATATACTAAAAATATATTGTCGACCTTAACATATACTAAAAAACAGTATATTTTTCGGGAATATATACAAAAAATATACTCATTGTATACAATCGACATAATAGAAAATACACAACAGATAAATCAATCTTGTCATTACATACAAAATATATACAGAATATATACAGAAGATATACAAAAAGCACATTAGACTGTAAAAATTCAAATTTTAGAAATTAATTCCTTCCTTCTACACACCCAATTCTCTATATCCCGTCATCCACAAGTGCAGCCGCCAGAGTCCATTGTCGTCTCTTTAAAAAACAACTGCAGGGGTCCATCGCATCTCCGGCTTCTAGCCTGCGCACGAACACTTCTTTTTTCTTTCTCTTTTTCTTTTTCTGTTTTTAGTTGCGATCTCTATTCCGGCCCACTTCGGCCCGCGGCCCCCGGCTATCAGCCACAATGACTCAGCCACCACCACAGACCACCACGTTCTCTTCTCTTCAGTTTATTATTCTCTTTTTCTTTTTGTTGTTTTGATCGCAGGCCCTCTCAGAGCCACCTTGTTCGTTTTCTCTGGCGTGTGAAGAAGAGATAGAAGCACGGGCCAGATGAGAAACACACTGGCAACGAAAACATATACTGAACATATACTTCCTATATACGAAACATATACTGTCGATTGTGTTTACAGAAATATATACTGAAAAATATACTGTATATATACGCAACATATCCCAAACATAATAAATCAAATGAAAAAGTTCTCAAAAAAACTGAGGACTGGGGAGAATGGCGGTTAGTGATTTTCAGGCTTTGTCTTTGATTACCGCAGCAACAAATCAAGTAGCCGAAATCAGAATCGGTTTGTTATTGCGTTTATCCGGTGGAATTAGGGCTCAATTTTTCCAATCGAGAGGCGATATGGAATGCTGCTGAACCCGCCGGTCGCCGCGAGAACACGAAATACCATCAAATCAAAAACAGAATCCATAAAAATTCTAATACAAGATTATGAAAACAACAAAAAAATATGAAAGCAAACTACTTGGATCTCTGTCTCATCTTTAGGCACTTCCTCTTAAATCTCCTCATGCTCTTCTTCTTCCACTATTGAAATATATATATATATATATATACAAATTGCAGCAAAAATCAATGGAATCAAAATTAATTTGTATGATATAGATGACACATGGGCTAGAGATGATTCACTTTCGCTCTCATGGTGAAAGATGAATTGCTACTTAACAGTGACGTCGTCGAGATCTGAAGAAAAAGAAAGGGGGAAGAAGAAAAAATGAAAGTGAGAGGAGAGAGAAATAGATGTTAACTAGTAACTTTCGTAAAAAAATAAAAGTGAGAGGAGAGAGAAATAGATGTTAACTAGTAACTTCCGTAGATTTGCAAATATTTAGGATATGTTTTCTAATTTTGCTAATAAAATATTATAGCAGTATATTTGTAAATATTTTGTGATGATCTCGTTGTAGGCGTAATTTTCTCTTATTGTATTATACCATGGCATAAATATACCGAATAAGTTTGTCATTTTTATTATTTTTTCAGTTATCAGATCGGAATTCATTCATAAGTTTTAGCTTTGAAATTAACTTATCAATAATCACCTACCTCTTCAGATAAATTTAAATTTTAACATAAAAACGACCATAATAAATGTCTCATAAATCGTTGTGACAGTTCTAGAAGAAGAAGAAGAATTTTGAGTTTAAGAAAAAGAAAAGATGCCAAATGGCCTCTAGAACTGTAACGAGAGCTGTTACGACAATTTCAAACAGACTAAAACAAGTACTTTGTGGAATTTGTCCAAAACGAGTTTATATAAGTGAAATGGGGCGAAAAGGATGGCGGCCTTATAGTCTATTATTGTTCAGACACATGTACTACTCATCAAATACTGAACTGTAGTAAAAAGTTGAGGATCGACTAATTGCATGATACTTAATTTAATATTGCACCATAAATCCTAATATTTGTGTGAGCTGCAAAATGAAACCACCTTTCTTAGTTTACCAAGAAGTTTGTGACAAACTCTCCTCCACTCATTTTCAAGAATACTAATTGGGGATCACATAATGGCTTCTTAGAATGGTAATAAGGTGTTGGTTCTTATAATGGTTATAACTCCTTCCGGTGTAAAAATCCTTTCAAGTTTCTGACAATAGTTCCCCATTATGACATTAAAATCCTTTCAAAACCAACAGACATCAAATTATAACAAAATTCAAAATATATATTTATATTATTTAAAAAAAAATAAAAACGAAATGAAAACTCAGTAACACAGACATACATATAGCAGCAGACTTCAAACAAGGAGCACGAAAAAATTCATAAAAATCCAAAATTTGAAGTTCCAATTATCTTCAGATTCGAACTCGAAAGGACTTTCCGACTAATGACTTGAATTGCTACTAGCCAACAACGCCATGCATCTATTCACAAACTTGAAAATGTTTAGTTTAATTTGCAAATCAAATAAGATTATGATGCAATTAACCCTTCAATTTTCTAGTAAACCATTGAAAAATGCCCCTCATTCACTTCAATGATAAACAATGGTAACGATGACATTCCCTGTAAGTCGAGGCAAGGGATCACAGTCGAATACAGGTATGCTATATAAGCATCTACAAAACAAGTTAATCTTTCATCTACATAATAATCCAACTTTAGCATCTACAAAAGAAGAAAGATATCTCCTCATAGATGGCCTACTCGATTAATCTTTCATCTACATAACAATCCAACTTTAGCTGGTCTTGTTTAGGCTAATCTGGGACAAAAGAAGCAGCATCAAGAACTCTTGAAAGAATAAAAAGGCACCAATATGTGACAACATAAAAGCTTCTTCCTTTTTCTTTCACTTTCACAACATATCAATGAAAAAAGTGGTCCAAAGTACTTACAGTTGGTGAGAATTTTTAGATACTAACAATATTTTCTTTTATAAGCAATACAGCACAGAAATTGCAAATGAGCCGAATACCCAAATGAAATTTTATGATCCATAACATTACAAATCTCTGCAACTTCAGTGATATACAATACAACAACAAAAACTTCATTGATATACAATACAACTTCATTGGTGTCAAAACTGAACGTGGGGATGAATTTTCCCGAAAGTCATTGAATAAAAAGCTTTTCAATTCATTTGATAATCAAGAGTTGAAAGGAAATTTGAAACAAATTTAAGAATCTTAAAGTGTCATTGATTAGGTGCTAAAGGGGGACAAAACGGTGGCAAGACCAATCACAGAAGTAAACAATAAATTTCAACATAAATGACACATAAACTAGCACAAAACTACATGAACAAAGAAATATTAGAGATAAATCCATACAAAAGCGAAAAACCAGGAAATTAAACACACATAAAAGAGACATTAGTGGTATTAGAGCAGCAAAACAACGTATTCAAAGCATACTGACAATTTCCGCGTTATAATGCCAATGATCATAGAAGAAACAAATAATATAAATGGAAACCATTAAACCTAACACAGAATAGAAACATTAGTAACAATAAGAAAACAAAAAAACCCTGACATAAGTCACGAGCAATATCTAACGCCCTAGTTCAACATCTAAAACGCACACTTAAGTAATATTCAAGACGGCTAAGTAATCTGATGCCGTAGTAGCTATATTCGGAATTGTCGGGACGCTTGCGGCCCGGTGAGATAATGTGATGCTGCTACGGCTATAATGTGAATTGTCCGGTTGTTCGTTTCCATGTTTTTTTTCCTTAATTTACAATATTTTTGTATTTTTTTAATTATTTTAATCATAAATATTAATTAAATGTATTTATGATTAAAATACATAAAAAATACAAAAAAATTGTAAATTAAGGGAAAAAAAACATGGAAACGAACAAAACAATCCGTAGAACGATTTCTTCCGGCGGATTGAGGCGGCGGCCAAAGCCAGGGCAGTTGATATGCCCGCGGAATGCCGTCGCCCCGATTGTGGAAACCAGCACGCGCCTCTGGCGTGCCTCGGCGAGATTTCTGTCCAAACTCCCCACCTGACAATATATGGTAACACAACGTGCACATAGTAATAATACAACAATCATAACGATACCATACCTTGTTCTCATCCCGTTGCACTGTATACAAAGGAATTCGACATGCAATGCCAACCAACAATCAACCAAAAAAGTTGCTTACAAAATTAATCAACTTCACACTGACAGTAGCCTGCTCCATGATACACGGCATAATATTTAAAATAATTTTTAAGTTGGGGAGTTACAAAAACGTTACTAAGTTCGAAATCCCCCTTATATATAATTTCAAAACGCGTTGAGCCTAAGTGGCAGCTTCGCACGCTTCGTAATCTTACATGCCAAAATATTATGCTTTGTAATATGGCTTGAATAAAAATTACTAATTTTATATACCAAATAACTTAAGTTCGGATTACCATATATATACACATATTTAATATATTTAAATCATTCCTTATAAATCTATTTATTATCTTTATTTTCTATAATGTGCACATAATCTTACTTTCCAAATTTTGTGCTTCGTGCATATTATTCCCTGATGTGTTTTAAATAAAAGTATTATCAATAAAAATAATGATGTATATAAATTAATTCACTTAGTTATTTATTATAAACTGTTATATAATGTTTTTTATTTATTTTTTCCAACTTCAACAAAATATATAAACTTTTTTTATTTTTAATTGTACAATTAATTATTTTATGGTTAGTACACGGGTATTGTACTAGTTCTATTTTATATTTAAATAACTTAGAGAAAACTTACTTGCATAAGTCTCTAGATAATTATTAAACACAACATTTAGTTGCGTAAAGTTAGTGTTTATTAACTAGCAAAGCCCCATGACACCAGGAAGAGCAAATTTTCAAGAAAACGAGCAAATTGAAGCTAAAATACTTTTTTACAGGAAATTCGTACCACTATAGGGGAACAACCTCTGTTTCTTATATTTGATTTGGGGGTGTAGAGAAGGCAAAAAAATGAGTTAGGTTGCTCGCGTCTTCCCCATTCTCTGGCCCCGAGAGGTGCCTGCGTGTTGAATCTGCTGCACCACTTTTGCAAAATTAACAAAATACAAGGTGTTACAAAACATGGTCAAGGATTAATAACTTGGATATATAGAGCTCCAAAATGAGACATCAGGAGAAAAATTCACTGTCCAAAACCTAAGGGTGGACACCACTTTCACAA